GCGCACCCCCTGGCTCGCCCAGCGTCGACTTGTTATAATCTGGCATCACGTGGGCTCCTGGCGAAGGTGGTGGCTCCAGAACATTTCCTTTAACTGGGAAGGTTTTACAAGTGGATCTCTTGATCCTGAAGTCCAAAGTATTCAACAGAAGGAAAAACTTGTTTTGAGTTCATATTTTATGCTGAGAGCATGTAAGTACCTTACTTCAGGAAATGTTTCTCCTGAAGAAGCTGTTACTGTTTTACTGCCTGCTTAGTAGCTAAAATAAAATGCATTTAGCTTAGTTTTGTTAGTACACAGTGCTGCTTAAGAACACAATCCGTTTTTCCAGGATTAACATTGTGCATAATTCTAATTCTATAGAGGGAGTTTGAATCTCTAATATCATTTACAAGTGGATCGAGATTCATGCCAGAGTTCTGGATTTTTTTTTTTCCTTTACTGAGCTCCCATGGGAACATTGTTGTTTTGCATATTTTCCACCCTGCAGTGTGATATTCTTTATCTAATTTAAGTTCAGTAATTTTAAAGTACAGACATTTTACTTTCCCATTTCTTAAGATTTAAAATATAAAATCTATAAATCTTGATGATAAACTTATGTATTTCACATGTATGTTCTCAAGCTTTCTTTTTGTCATTGGTTTATTTATCAGTCTTTTTATTACTATGAAATAATATTAGTAATTAGTAGAAATGTTTGTCTTAATTAGAAATAAAAAAATTTACTGTGAACTATAGATTAAACCAGTGAAAATTTAATGTATAATTTACTTGTTTATTTGCTTTGTCTAATCACAATTATTTCAATTTTTATTTCAGTTAATAATAAATGTAAAAAATATCATATCTTCTAATTACAAATCATAGTGCTTAATAAAAATGTTATTTGGGTTTTTTTTCTTGTATAGACAAAGCTGTAATAAATGCTTATTTTCTGAGATTTTCAGTGGTTTTGTGAAGAATTTAATTGCTGAAGTTTGGGGAAAATTAATTGCAGTGCCTCCCTTTCTTACAGAATACAGTCGTTTTGAAGCTAAAATACATGATTTACGGGAACAGATGATGAACAGTAGCATTAGTTCAGGATCAGGATCTTTGCGAACCAGCCAGAAGAGATCTTTATATGTCAGGTAATCATCTTTTCCACACTATTGCTACACACACAATATTTTTGTATTTATATGTTCTGTACAATTATTTAATTGTTCTTGAACTTAACAAATTGATGCTCGTATACAAAATATATTAAAAATGAAGCTTAAATTTAGATTGATGAATGTAATACAGCTTAAGCTTCAACAGATTTCCATCTTATTTCCTTCAGCTTACTTTACTTGTATTCTCAGCTTGTATTAAGAAATCTTACTCCTATATCAAGTAGCGTTTTTTTAATAGATTATTTTCCACGATAACCAAGAGATCAAATGCGTCAAAGCAAATGAACAAATTATTAATGTAGATTTAGACACAAAGGAGGCTAAAGGAAGGAGAAATATTAAAGAGCATGAAGCAGTTAAGAAAATAGGCGGTTTCACCGTGGAACTGGGGCAAGATGTGGCTCGTTAATGTTCCACCTGACTCCTACGTCAGTTGTCGCATAGTGATAAAGCATTATGTTTCAAGTATGGAATGTGAGTAAAGGGACTGTGTGTTTATTTAAAAAAAAAGAAAAAAAAAGATTTTCTGAGTTTCCCAAACCAGTTCATCTCTGGATTGAGTAAGGGCCAGCAGCCATCTGTCGGCAGAGGCCAAGACATTTTAGTAAAGCAGGTGAGACTTCAGGAGTGCCGGTGCTTGGGTTAGACTTGGTTTAAAATGTTGTAGGACCTCATTGACTTGCGTGCCAAAACCTTGCACTCCAGTGCTATTGGTTTTTCCCATCCAAAGCAGATATTTTCTTCATGGAGCTGTGGGGTAGGAAGCAAGTTTTACACCAGGCAGTTACCTGAGTAATTGCATCTATGCTCAGAAAAGCCTCAGTCCTTTGCAACCTGTTTTTGAAGGCTTTGAAACAAACGTAGCAAGTTACTGGTACAGGACTTGTGTTTAGATTGTCTGTAGAATCATAGAATCATTTAGCTTGGAAAAAACCTTTTCAGATCAGGTCCAACCATTAACTTAGTGCTGCCAATCTAGGTTTTGACATATTTCAATAACTTTATGTGGATTTTATTTTTGCAGAGTTCTTTTTTGTACTGTGTCTGCCTTACTTATTATTTTCAGTTAAGATTTAAAGCTCTAAGGATAAATACTTTAAATATACTAAGGATAAGTGCTTGATATCAGTTATCCCTGTCTTAGAATTTCCACAGGTAGGTGTACATACGAATATTGTGCTGAGATCTTTCTTTCCATAATCCCAAGATTTATCACTTTAGCCCTCATCATATAACTAAGCCTAAACAATTCTAAATGCTTTTATTTTGCTTGGTTAGCTATAGCCTGATTAGGTTTTAAACCGCTTATGCTCATGCTCACATATTGGTCTGGTATTTTAAGCCACTGACAAGCATTTTGTGTTTGTGTAGCTTTTATTCCACCAATGGAAGTTGTTTTCTGTAAATGATTAAGCTTGAGCTTTTGACTTTGCCAGCTGCTGTGGAAATGCAGCCTTCTCCATGTTATTGACAAAAGCCTTGTGAAGACTGATGGTTCTCTTTCCAAGAAAGGCTTTTGAGACTTGGTAATCAGCTTTGTCGTAAGTCGGAAGAAAAATCTAAATTGCAAAAACTCCTCAGAAAAAGTACCTTTCCACCTACATCTTTTAACAGAGTTCTGCTAGGGTTTTTGAGATCTACTCTTGTCATCACACCAAAAGATGCCAAAGACTGGTGGGCAACCTGGTATATGCAGGATGGGGTCACATCTGTTCTGTCTGGTTTCTGATGTAATTTTTACTTCACTGAATTAAGTTTTGTGAATCTTTTTACATATTGCTAGATACTGACAGAACATGTTAGTTATACAGCTTATTTCTTATTATGTCACTCTCGTATGATTGTTCTATGCTTTTAATTATGCCGTATTTAGTAACTGAAGCTGTCTTTTTTCTTTAATATTAATTTTTGAATATGCTTTAAAGGATTCCAGTCCTGTAACGTAATGCTGAATCAAATGGTGGATCAACAGTAAAATGTTTAGAAGTGTTCAACCACAGTCCTAGCAAACCTATTAAATAAAAATAATCATCTCTGATTTATCAAAATCATGGTTACAAAATAGGAAATAAAATCAGATACCTCATTGTGTCCCCTTAACTGAAACTTGATACCTTTATGAATAATTTGCCTATAACGTGCCTGAAACCAAAATTTTAAGTAACATTGTAGATTCTTCTTCTTAATTGTATATCAATATATTGATGAATAATGATAGAACAAATACTCCTTAGAGATCAATACAAATACAGCAATTCAGCATCAGCTAACTCTTCATTTGTATCTCTCTGTCCTTGACTAATTAAAATGTACTGTTTTAATGGCTCTAATCTTCATTCTAAGAAGAGAGGAGGTCTCTCGTAAAATGTTTCTAGCTTTGCATCTGAACTACATCTCTATACTCTCCTCCTTTACCTGCAGATTCAAGAAGCACATGTGTCACAGTATCAAGTTTCTATGATAGAATGTTGTCAAGGAGTAAACTTGTTTCATATTTTATCTCAGGTCGTATGCCAAATCTGTGTCTGTGCAATGTCCAGAGAGTTCATATCTGAAATTTTTACCTCTACGCATTTTTCTGACCAGCATGATGCATTGCAAATTCACACAAAGGTGCTGATTTCTGCTTGAATCAAAGCAAAAAAATGATTACATCTGCAAGTGGAAGAAAGGTCACAGTTTGGAAATCGTTAGAAAATTTTACCTAAATCAGTTGAAAAATAAGTTCTGGCATTAGCATCAGGCCTGAGATTCATAGAAGTGTACATAACCTGCAAGAGGAGGTTGACTGGACATCCCTGTGTTATTCTGACAATTCAAACATCTAGTTACAAAGAGCTTTCCCAAACACTCAGAATCTCCTTTATAAGCTGACCTTGATTCCTTCTGAAATGATAAGATGAATTCATGTTTCATGAAAATAAGATGTAAGAGATGCTTTTGCTGCAGGAATTCTCAATTGCTTTGTTCAGCAAGAATACCCTACAAGTAAAACTTGATCAGCAGCCTATGATACTGCAAGTAATGAGTGTGGCCGGCAACAAAGACAGCGTGGAAAACTAGGCCCTGTTAACCCAGCCAGTAATTTCTTGGCTTTGAAGCATAAACACTTATGAAGCATGCAACTTAACTTCAGTTTCCATAGTCTTGTAAATGAAGGAAAGAAATTACTTTTTTTTTTAGTGCTATTTCATTGCTGAGTAATACAAGGTAAAATAACGAGTACTTTTCGCACTTCTCTAAAGAGCTGTTTAAATGAGTCAATACCATGGGGCTGCATTCAAAGCAATAGTTGATCAGGAATACCAGATTTATTTTGAAATAATTTTGTGTTTATAACTTACACTAAATATTTTTTTACATATTATTGTTAATCTATAATAAGAGTCTCCAGTCAAGTAGTAAATAAAAGAGGTATTTTTTACATACCAGTCTCTAGATAAGTGTCATCTTGACAGTGAACTGAGATCTTGTTTGACAACCTGCCAAGCATACAGGAAAAGCCATGTTAATCAGTTGGAATCAGAAGAGACTTTTGTTAATTCTGTTTGCTTTTGGCTCATTTATTTGATCATTATGAGTTCTTATAAAACTGTCTTTATAAGTTTTGACTTTTTTCCCCAATATAATTATTTTTATTAGAGTGACCTCACCAGAGAAGTACTGGGTGAAACTATCTTTCACTGCACAAAAACTATTCTATTTGAAGAGCAGATGTGATAATACATGTTTTTATCCATTTGTGCTTCCATTTGAATCCTGTGTATATTTTTTCATGTGTAGTCAACACATGTGCTCACTGCTCATATAGGTTTATATTCAAACTAAAACTTGGAAGTTTAAAGTAGTGTGGTAGAAATCATTGCTTGAATGCTGACAAGAATTCTTAGGAAATAAATTTCACAATGCATTTAATTCAGTGAAAATATAACTGGCATCTGCATTAAAAATACATTATGGGTTATGTGCAATTTGTTTTGAGATATGGAACAGTATTTGCTCAGAATGCTTCTTGAACAAATGTGTAGAATAAATCTGGAGGAATAACCGCTAATTGTGTAATTTTCGTACTGCAGTATTTTCAGCTATTTTAAAGAAAAGAAGGGTTCTTATTTTTTTTTAAATAATATCTCAAGCATGTTATGGAATTAAACTGAAAAATAGTGTAGTGAAGGTTACACTGCTGAAGGAAGGTGGTATTTCAACCTCCAAGCTCTTTCGAAGTTGAAAGCCTAAATTTTATTATAAAAGTAAAAACATTAGAAGTATCCCGTATTTACATGTAGAGCTTTGTGTATCATGAGAGTAAATATTTCTAAGCTATTTTAAAATTTCTGTATTGTTCTAGACTTTTAAAAATGTATTTATTAAAGCCTTAAATATTTTATGAAAATATTTTATGATAGTTTTTATGGCCCAAGAAAGGCATGGTGTCTTAAACAACTGTGATTTTCACGGACCTTATGCTACAGATGAATTGATCTGGCAGAATTTTTTTTTCCTTGTAAGCAATCTGCCATTGTTTATGAACAAATATAGTTCACAGCCAGTGCTTTAGAAATGCAAAATTCACAAAGTTACAATACATTTTGGAGCAAACAGTTACGACTTAAAGGTACTTACACAGATTAAAAATTGAGACACTGAAAATCTACCAAAGAACAGTAGATAAGACTAGTGTTTGAGATGAAGAAACAAACTAAAATTGAATAAGGAAGAGGACACCATTTTAATCCATTAATGATACTTTGTGATAGACTTGACGTCAAGTCTCTGAATCGAGGTAGGGAATCATTTAGAAAAGTGTCTCACTGGCAAACATACGGACTTGCAGATGAAACAAAGTTGAGGATTATTTTGTCTGTATCACACAAGCGCTTCTGACTTTGCGTAAGGCAGGTTCATACAACTTTTTCAAAAGTAAAATAGCCTTTGTAAGGCATAATCTTAGCAGTAATCTCTTGAAGTTAGGTAAAAGGCTCCAATCATTTTCATTTCCACATCTTCATTGAACACTCGGTGGTGCTGGGAAAAACATACTGCAGGTCTCTTCAGTTTCCCAGGGAACCGGTGCAGATATAAAACGCTCCATCAGGGAGAAAAGAAATTAATTTTAACCCAGATCAGTTCACGGTATGGTGCACCATGAGCCTCTCCAGAGAACTGTGTTCTCATAAGCAAGAAAGGGGAAAGGAGTCAGTCCAACTCGGGCGTGAATGTGGGGGTAGATAATAGTGGGCTTGCAGAAGCCAACCTTGCTGGCAGAGGGAATGTTAATAACTGTAGGCACACAGCTGGCATTCAGGTATTGCTAGGGCCTATTACTTGCAAACAAGCTTGCCTTATAAAAAAGGGTGAGATTCTCTTGAAATGGTTGGGAATGTTCCAAAAGAATGCACAAAAGATTCTTTGCCCTCAGGTGCTACAGTAGCAAAGTTGTGTTCAGATAATATTTCTGAGCTGTTTTTTTTTCATAGAATTATAGAATCATAGAGCAATTTCAGCTGAAAGAGACCTTCAAGATCATCGAGTCCAACCTTGTCCTAGCCCTATCAACACCACCAAACCGTGTCCTTCGGTGAAATATTTACCTGCCTCTTAGACACCTCCAGGGATGGTGACTCAACCACCTCCCTGGGCAGGCTGTTCCAATGCCTGACCAGCCTTTCAGTAAAGAATTTCTTCCTAATATCCAGCCTGAACCTCCCCTGGCACAACTTAAGGCCATTTACCCTTGTCCTATCACTCGCCACTAGGGAGAAGAGACCAACCCCCGCCACGCTG